TGCACACAGCATTTGAGGTGCAGCCTCACCAATGCTAAGTACAGGGGCATGATCACCTCCCTGCTCCTCCTGACAACGCCATTCCTGACACAGGCCAGGATGCTGTTGGCCTTCTTGGCCACCTGGGTACACTGCTGGCTCATGTTCAGCTGGCTGTCAGTCAACACACTCAGGTCCCTCTCTGCACGACAGCTCTCCAGCCACTCCTCCCCAAGCCTGTAGCACTGCTGGGGGTTGTTGAGGACGAAGAGCAGGACCTGGCACTTGGCCTTATTGAAACTCATGGAATTGGCCTTGGCCCAGCCATCCAGCCTATCTAGATCCCTCTGTAGAGCTGCCCTACCCTCAAGCAGATCAACACTTCCACCCAGCTTGGTGTCATCTGCAAACTTACTAAGGGCGCACTCCACCCCCTTGTCCAAATCATTGATAAAGATGTTGAACAGGAGTGGCCCCAGTACTGAGCCCTGGGGGACACCGCTCGTGACCGGTCACCCACTGGATTTGACTGTGTTGACCACAACTCTCTGGACTCAGCCATCCAAGCAATTTTTCACCCAGCAAAGCATATGCCCATCCAAGCCATGAGCAGTCAATTTCTCTAGGAGAGCGCCGTGGGAAACAGTGTTGAATGCCTTACTAAAGTCACGGTAGAAAACATGCACAGCCTTTCCCTCATCTGTCAGGCAGGTCATCTTGTCATAGAAGGAGATCAGGTTCGTTAAGCAGGACCTGCCCTTCATAAACCTGCCTGGGCCTGATCACCTGGTTGTTCTGTAAATGACTCGTAACGGCACTCAAGATGAACTGCTCCATCACCTTCCCTGGCACCGAGGTCAGACTGACAGGTCTGTAGCGTCCCGGATCCTCCTTTTGGTCTTTCTTGTAGATGGCTGTCACATTTGCTGTTCTCCAGTCCACTGGGACCTCCCCAGTTAGCCAGGACTTCTGGTAGATGATGGAAAGAGGCTTGGTGAGCACATCTGCCAACTCTTTCAGTACTCTTGTACCTAGTCTGTCCGGCCCCATAGACTTGTGTGTGTCTATGTGGCGTAGTAGGTCACCGACCACTTCCTCTTTAATAGTGAAGGCCACGTTCTGCGCGCCCTCCCCATCTTCCAGCTCAAGGGGCTGGGTGTCTGGGGAACAACTAGTTCTACTACTAAAGACTGAGGCAAAGAATGCATTGAGCACCTCAGCCTTTTCCTCATCCTTTGTCATGGTGTTTCCCTCTCTACCTAGCAAAGGATGAAGATTCTCCCTAGCCCTCCTTTTGTTACTGATGTATTTGTAGAAACATTTTTATTGTCCTTAACAGTCGTAGCTAGTTTAAGTTCTAATTGGGCTTTGGCCCTCCTGATTTTCTCCCTGCATAGCCTAACTACTTCTTTATAGTCCTCATGAGAGACCTGCCCCTCTTCCAAAGGTCATAAACTCTCCTCTTGTTCCTGAGGGCACGCTAAAGCTCCTTATTCAGCCAGGCCGGGCTTCTTCCCTGCTGACTCGTTTTTCGGCACACGGGGACAGCTTGCTCCTGTGCCTTTAAGACTTCCTTCTCGAAGTATGTCCAGCCTTCCTGGACACCTTTACCCTTCAGGGCTGCCTCCCAAGGGGCTTTGTTGATCAGTCTCCTGAACAGGCCAATGTCTGCCCTCTGGAAGTCCAAGACAGCAGTTTTACTGACACCCCGCCCCACCCTTTACTTCCCCAAGGATCGAAAACTCTATCATTTCATGATCGCTGTGCCCTAGACGGCCTCCAACCTTTACTTCCCCCACAAGTTCTTCTCTGTTCACAAGGAGGAGGTCCAGGAGGGCACCTTCCCTGGTTGGCTCCCTTAACAGTTGTGACAGGAAGTTATCTTCCACACACTCCAGGAACCTCTGGGACTGTCTATACACATATCCACAGAGGGAAAAGTTCTGCTCAGCCCTCCCTCCACTGTGGAGCTTCAGGTGGGGCTGCAAGGACCATGCATGTCCCCATGGAGATAAGGGTCCCCTGAGGGTCCCACATCTCTTTGCTGCCCACCCCTGGCCCACATTGGCTGATGTCAGTGCTGCAGCTCTCCCTGTGGCAGTGAGGCCCCAAGGACAACCCCCCCCCTCAGCCCCCAGGCAGGAAAGGGAAGATGCATGCTCCAGGGTTTATTTCCATTTTGCTGGATTTCTCAGGACCAGAGTGCAATGGGAGGATGTGGGTGCACACGCTGGCGCAGCCACCTGGGGGGCCGAGACGCCGTAGCCCTGCAGCTGGGGCTATGCCTTGCTGGGGTGGGGGGTCCTGCTCTTGGGCTCCTCTTCCCTGGTGCTGATGGAGCTCCTACCCTGCAGTTCTGTGAGGGGGCAGGGGGTGCTCGGGATGAGCGACCCTCATTGGGCACTCATGGCCGCCACCGTGCTGGTGATCCACTGGGGGGAACATGGGCAGGGGTCCAGCAGGGCAGTGGGTCTGCGAGGCCATCAGGCAGCTTTACCCAGGACCAGCATGCTCATGAGGAAGACCATGAAGAAGAACACCCACATGAAGAAGCGGTCCATCACCTTGGCCACCTTCTTCCACTCGCTGGTCCGGTGCTGGGTGGCTCGGTGGCGCCGGAAGCAGCCAGCGATGTAGCC